TTATTGTCTCTAATGAATGCTGAAATTGCTCCATCGCTCTTCTCATTGATTCATTCTGTGATAAAATATAGAGGGTTATTCCTAACACATATCTTGTTGTTATTTTTTGGGAGTTGTGGAGTCGATGATGACTATGTTGTTCATCGAACAGATCTAAAAATATGATTTGTCATATGAAACATGTTATTGAACTATGTGGGGTGTCCTTGTAGTAGCTCATTGACCCATTTATCACCAATATAGGTCGATGTCAAGAATGAAGTTCGATCGACAAAGGAGTTGTAGTATTCGTACAGGAATGAATGAAGGTCGATGTCAAGAATGAAGTTTGGGCTGGGGCCTTCACCTAAACAATCTATCTGCTCGATCTCCAAGTCATCTGGTATGATTGCAAACCCATGCTTACTTGGGGTGAACACATGCATGCCCGTCGCAACAACTCCACTAAACATGAGGTCCAAGTTTTCCTCCAGGTCCAGGTCAATGCCACTTACCTTAAATTTTTTGGCAGTTAGCACTGTCTACAACGTACGGGAAAGTATATTAGTTAAAAAAGATGAATGGAAGAACAAGTATTTAGGGATTTATTTATTACATCCAACTTCTCAGTCCATCAATCCTCTGAAGCATCAAAGATCCACTTGATATGATCCCAACCCAAGCCCGTGGATACTCTTTTCAGTTCCTTCTATAACTTTCAATCATTCTTCAACTGGTCCGACTTGTTCTTAAATTTTAACCTATCACAGTCCCTTCCTATCATTTCTTGAAACTTCTTGTAATATTCTGCCACTCTTCTTTGTTAAAGTAGGTGGCGGGTCTATTTCAAGCTCGATCTCATTTATACAGAGGTTGCAAAGTATGATTGACTTCCCTATCCCACATTGCTGATGAAGTCACTTCTTTGGACTTAACCATTACGTTACTAATAAAAGAAATGTATAAAAAAATGATATAACCAGTAAAACAAAAAAAAACATGATAAAAAAGAATGCTCTAATAAAAACAAACCCATAAACTCAAAAAACCCTTAAAACCAAAACAAGAAAACACAAGAACGAAAATCTGTTAAAAAATTCAATCCAAAATGTGATGCTGATGATGATGTTGATATAGAAAGAACGAAAAGAACACCTTCATGATTTTTTCCAACATACATACTTGATTTTAGCCACAACCCAGTCCTAAGACAGCCACCAACCAAGCCAAAACCATCCCCCATCACAGCCACAACCCACCCCCCATCACAGCTTCATCACAAACTCCACACACACCATCCACCATTCACCACCAACCCACAGACCCAAGCCAAACACAGCACACCCAAAGCCACCAACACAGCCTCCAAATGCAACTGACAAACACCACACCCACAGCCACCAAGGCAGCCTCCAGAGCCACCAACACAACCTCCAGAACCACCAACATACGCACACTCACATCCACCACCAACCCACAAACCCAAGCCCAACACGACACAACCTCTATGGCGACCAACAAGCACATCGACCATAGCTTCCAACACAACCTCCACAACCACCAACATACACATCAACCATAACTACCAACACATCCTCTAGAGCCACAAATACACACACTAACATCCACCACCAACCCACAGACCCAAGCACAACACAACTCACTCCCAAATCCACCAACAAGTACATCACCTAGAGCCACCAACACACACACACTCACATCCACCACCAACACACAGACCCAAGCCCAACACAACACACACCCAAAGCCACCAACAAGCACATCACCCACAACCACGAACACAACCTCCACGACCACCAACAGGGACATCACCCACAACTACCAACACAGCCTACAGACCCATGCACACACCCAAAGCCATCAAAAAGCACATCACCTACATGCCACCAACAAGGACAACACCCACAACCTGCACATGCCACCAACAACAACAACACCCGCAAACTCCACATGCCACCAACAACGACAACACCCACAACCACCAACACAACCTCCAGAGCCATCAACACACACAATCACATTCACCACCAACCCACAGACCCAAGCTCAGCACAACATACACCCAAAGCCACCAACAAAGCTTTCCCATGACACCAACACGCACATCACCCATAGCCACCAACACAGACTCCACTTGACACTAACAAGCACAACACCCACAACCACCAAGCCGCTACCTCCACCACGAGGCAACATAAAAATCATCATAAATACCATCATACTCAACACACTTCTCCCATCAAATTGAACAAAAAATCATCTCTATAGCAGACAGTGAATGCCCTGATGTTGCTTAAAGGCTCATTCGAACACACAAAATGAAAGATCAATTCACCAAACATGCATGAGCAACGAATGTGCCAAGCACACCAAGGTACCTGAAACAATTCAAGTGAAATAATCTACATATATAATAGTTGTAGATTAGTTGTATGTACCAACCATTCCATAAAAAATTACCACAGGATTAACTACATATATATTTACAAATGAAGCACGTTTGAAGATCAAACAAAGAAAAAAAAAATAGGGAATGTAGATTTTAGGCAATTACAACTAAGAACCTCGTAACAATGCTACAGAACAAATCAACAACCCAATTTCATGCATTCATCAAATTTTCAGTAAAACAACCAACCACAAAAATCGTAGGAAGAAAGCCATTTCATAAAAAATTACCACAGGAATAACTACAGTTGCCAAAGATCGTAGAGGGGAAGAGGAGAAAGGGAACTGTACGTGTGAGAGGGATAGAGCGCGAGAGAGTACCGAGAGCGATCGATGCTATTGCCATGAGACAGGCGAGAGCGAGAGCGATCGATGATAGGGCAAGTTCGAGGGAAGATGTGACACGAGAGTGACGAGGTTGAGGGCAGCAGGGTAAAATAATCGCGAATGAACGCGAGCCGCCGACCACGTTTATTAAAAAATCAAATACGCTGTTTCCCAAAACTCAACCCTAACACACAAGTCAAACAAAACGACGACATTTTGGACATACTGCCCGCGGTTATAAGCTGCCACAAACGGGGCCTTAACTTATTCTTTAAGAAGATTCAAATAGCACACAAAGATATCAATTTCATTGATAGGAGAATCAAATTTTGTGATTTGGCAACCCAAATCAAATCCTAAAGCTAGATTGATATAAGAGGGCAACTCATGCTTCAAAGTAATCAAACCACGATGTAGAGGACATTGTTGTGGCCTATGGTCGATCAACTTTTAGCAAAAATCCAAACGAAATGATGAAGATTGAAAATTTAGACCCATTTTATAAGCATTTGAGCTTATAATTAGGACCAAAAGTAAACTAAGTCTGATAAAATTTTGTTTAAGCATGTGTTTTAATAATATGGTTGTACTCCTTCAGTGGACTCGTGTCTTGATAATCCCTTTAGTTGAGAATTTATATAACTAGGCTCTCATAGTGGGTTCATGTCCTGAGAACCTCCCAATTGAGGTTGACTCCTTCAGTGGGTTCGTGCCTGAGAACCCCTCAATTGAGATATGTATGATTGGACTCCTCCAGTGGATTTGTGTCCTAGGATTGATTTCTAAAAATGCTAGACTCGGTCTATAGATTTATTGAACTTAATATTAAGCTCGTTATTTCAACCTCGGTGAATTTAGTGGATAAATTTGATTGCTTTATTTTCATGTTGAACCAATCTTAAGGTGTTATTGAGCCAATGATTGTCATTAGTTCCCTCTTTTTAAGTATGAACTAATAAGATTCAAAATGACAAGTAAAATTTAAAATACCAAATAAAATATAAAGTTTCAACCTGAGAGGTTTTTACTTTAAAATATCTCAAGTTCTAGCATAAATTATTTTGAGCTCAGGTTAAGATAGAATAGGAAAATTTTAAATAAAATGCAAAAATCTAAAGATATTCAAATGAAATTTATCATTTAAATAGCAAAGAACAAACTCTATCCACTATCCACAATCATTTGTTAAGGGTGATAAATTTAGAAATAACTTAAGCTCATAAATATTGGGTATTGTATCAAATATATCATTATATTCACATTGAAAATAGTTTATGCCAGTAACGACATGACTCAGGTTTTGTTATATGCGTGAATTGGCTCAGCGGCTCGTCAAATATGGTGTTTACAACCAAATATTTTTTGTTGGGTGTTTTAGCTCAGCGACTCCACTGTATTATGGTTGCAGTTGTAGCCAATACGTTTCTAGTAGATTTTTGTCATTTGAGTTGCGAACCATTAAACATATTTGATAGAGTACAAATCTCTCTATTAGCTAAGATTAATTAGATTTATACTCTTAATTAATCACAACCCAGTTCTATAAGATTTTACAAAACAACCCGTGACTACTAACAAAAATTTTTCAGTAAAATTATGTCGAATTCTTCTTTATCTAGGTAGATTAGTGTCCATGACAAGCCGTGATGCCAAAATTATGAGATCTTGGTTGAGTTCTTCATCATTCTCCCACTATTTGGTTTAAGCTCTTGATAATAAATTTCATAATCTAAAACACAAGTCTTGTGCTATTATATGATAATTTTGAACACTCAATGCGTAATGACTTGTCTTGATTGAAGAAAGAGAAGTTAACTAGATCTTAAGGCATCACAAAATGAGTGCGAAGTATCATACCTAAGATTTTAAGTCAATACAAAAATGAATGTGAAATCTATGGTTAATATCTTATATTTAATGTAATCCGTCTTCAAAAAATTTTATTTGGAACCCAACAAAAATAATCTCTCGTCAAGAGAGGCTGATTCATGAAATTTTGGAGCCCGTGCTCATTGCAATCTCATAATGTGGTAGCTAGGAGTGCTGTTTGTTTTACAATGAATGTTGTTGTTTCGTATCATTGAAATAGTTTTTTTTTTTTTTTGGTAAGTAATTCATTATTATCTTGTAAAATATTAAGAATCTTACTTTGACGATGAGCAATTTTGTATCCTCAATTTATCGCTTTCAAAATCTTTCTATCACTTCCAATTTTTTTTCTGCAGGCCATTGCCATGAAGCCAATGCCTCAAGCCTTGTCTGATGCTAAGATTCTTAAGTTGAGTTCTACCTGCTATTCTTTAATGCGTATCCCTATCATTTTTTATCCATTATGATACTAAAAATTTATCAACTTTTATGCTGTGATATCCATGCAGGATTCAATTGTAGAGAGGATTAATGCGAATCCTGTCGCTGGATGGAAAGCTGTCATGAGTCCTCGCTTCTCCAATTACACGGTATGTCAACTCAAGTCTTGGCATCACCAAAGCATCTATGTTCAATAGGATTGGATAAAGGTAAATTATTTGACAGTCAATGTTTAGAAACAAATGGGACATTTAAGATTATAATAATTATCAATGAAATAGTCATACAAGATCTAAACAAGTCAAAATAGAGGTTAAAGGAGCACAAGTTTAAAAAACATAACAAAATTGAGGAACTAATTTGATTTTTATTTTTTTACTTCATAAGATATGATTAAATACCAAGAGAATTGATTTAAAAAAACTCTATGAAGTGAATTTTTTTTTAGTTGAGGATTTATATAAGCGGGCTCCCCCCGTTGGCTCATGTCCTGAGAACCTCCCAAATGACGTTGACTCCCTCAGTGGGTTTGTGCCTGAGAACTCCGCAATCCAGTGGATTTGTGTCCGTCCTTCAGTTTGATTTCTAAAAGTGCTAAACTCGGTCTATAGACTTATTGAACTTAATATTATGCTCGGTATTTCGTCCTCAAACAAAACAAACCTAAAATTAGATGAAAGCCGTAATTTTTAAAAATTTCTAGTGTATGATCGAGTTGCAACTACTTGTGTAATTGTGAATGATATTGTATTTCTCATATTTTTTTTAAAGGCTTCTAAAAGTGACCTTTAGGGTTTTTATCATACGTTTTAAATGTTTTATATCTTATGTTGTCGTTTTCTTTCAAATCGAGCAAATGATCCATATAGTAAAAAAAAAATTAATGAAAATGCTAAAAGACCAACATTTTTCCAATAAGATTCTAATAAAAACATGTAACTAATTCTTAAAGATGATAATATAAACAATATTAAAAGAAAGATAGATCACCTATATACGAGATGACTTTATGGACAAATAATCTCTTTAAATAGGAATAATTCAAATATTTTATACTTGAATTATAAGTAATAACGTTTCTAGACCCTTTACAATTTACCATATGATAGTTTGGCATTCACCATTAAGTGTTGATGCAACTTAACTCCCTCTTGTCTCTCCCTCCCTCCTTCCCTCTCTCTTTTTATAAGTTCCACTTTGTAAATTTGTATGGCACTAAATCGAGAACTGAAAATGAAATCAACAATACTTTGACCGCTCAATATTTCATTAACATTTAGTTAAGAGTTTCATTATAAGATTGCTAAATTTGTTCATAGCTTTAGTAAAATATGATTGTTTTGATTTTACATTTAGGAAGAATCTCAGTTTTTTTTTTTTAAATCGAAACTCAAGTTCAGGTATGATGTCATATTCAATTTTGCTTTCAACCAATTCAGACTCTACTTCAAGTACAGGTTCAGGTTTATGATCATGATCTATTGTAGGCCTAAATATAGACTTAAGAATATAATTTATGGATTCATATTATATCTAAAAGTCATTTTATGCGTTTAAGACATTTTCAAAAGACTATTAATGTTGATAATTTCTGCTGTAAGCACAAATTACGCCATACATGATTTTTTATGTTCGTGTGTATATAGTAGGCTTTGAAGTAGATGATTTTGATTTTTTTCTTAAGTGTATTAATCATATTAGCACTAGTTCTAATCGAACGATTTTAAGATTTCTCAATTTCCAAGGATCTTTAAAAAGGCTGTTGATACATTTTTGGTGTATTGTGGTTAATTCATTCCTAAGCTCTTGCTTAAGACCCGTTATCAAATAGAGAGTGGTAATACATCTATGAATAAATAATATTTTGTCTTAATCATGCATAATATTCAAATACTTTAAAAATACATTATTTATGATCTTTAAATTGGTCATACAGCTGATCTCTCTAATCACCACGCGACCCTGTTCTACCTGGGATGCAAAGTATGGGATCGCTGCATGCTATGACGAGAACATTCTAATATTGTCACGATTTGACTTCATTTCGACTAGTTGGGGAGACATGATCGAGGTCTTGCAAAATAGTTATGATTTCAGCTAGCCGAGAAGCGACGACTTGATTTCAGTGTATAAGGTTCAGCCTTCATGAAAAAAAAAATTGTACTTGGAGAGATGGTAGCAAAAAAAGTAGACGATTTGGAGAAGAAATTTGAGGAAGAGATGAGTCAACTTAAACCTGAGATAGAGGAAAGATTCTCCACCATAAAAAGAAGATTTTCTCTCATTTATGATAGGTTTTCTTCCTTGGAAAACCGATTTGGGAGCTTGGAGGAGATGATGAGAAAGCTTATTGAGATGCAATCCAAAATCTTGTTGGCGGCTCAATTTCCCTAACCAAGGGTTGATAGGAGATTCCGTTCCCAAATCAACACGAGGAGTAAAATATCCACCATTAAAAACTTCCCCCTAGGACCTCGGGGGGTGGATTAGAGATTTCCGAAGGAGGGAGCTGGGCTTAAACATGAATGAGGGGTTATGCAAGGGGTTGGGAGGAGCACTTGGAAGGCCTCGTGTTACCTCCAAACATATAGGATGAACTAAAGTTGGAGATATTGAATGAAAGAATCAGAAGCAGATTCAAGCAGCAGCATGTAGATGGAATTGCTTGACATCTGGAGGTTTGGAAATGAGCATTGATCGACAGAAGAGATGCAATTTGGAGCTGGAAAATATCACTTCAAAGAATTTTGGTATGGAACAACGAATCATGGTGGGTGGGATCTCGACAGAGGGCTGCATCCAACTCTTTTGGTGCCCTTTGCGGTATCAGCCTTTTGGGTTGAAGGAGATTTGGGAGTAATGATGGAGGATGTGATCATACAGTTTTTTTTGACCTTGTTCTTTAGCCTAATCTTGCTAGTGAAGAAGACAAATGAGAATTGGTGTTTCTATATGGATTATCGAGCCGTGAATTAAGAAATAATCTGGACAAATTTTCTATCCCGGTGATTGACGAGCAGTTGGACGAGTTGTTTGGGACTGCAAGGTCCTCCAAGATTGATTTGAAGATAGGACATCAACATAATCTGAGGTGGTTGAAGGTTGTGCACAAGAATAGATTGTAGACTTTTGTGGGCCACTCCAATTTTTTGATTAAATGGAAAAGATTCCTAGATGATGATTCACGTGGGAGTCATATGCTACTTATCCAACAGTAAATTTTCTAGCTTGAGGACAATGTGTATTTTTGGGAGGGGAGTATTCTTATATTGTTGTCTAGCCTAAGGGCGGTTTTATCATTTATTGGCTTAAGGGGAATTTAATATTTTATTATTTATTTTTATTTAGTATAAATTGGGCTAATATGTTTAGGGTTAGGGTTATGTATGAGATTGTTATTGTGGTCTTAGGTTTAGGGTTTGAGAGAGATTTCCCGCCTCTCGAATTGTAAGAATTGAGAAAGATCGTCCATCCCTCAAATTGTTTGTGCTTATGTTTTTATTAATATTGTTCTCGATTATTAAAGAAAAAAACTTGCTCTACTCTAATTTTTGTAAAAAGTCGTGCTAATTTCTGCATCAAATCGTATCAGACACCCATGAGCTTCATGAAGAGATCATTTTCATCCACGATAATGATCGAAGTTGCATGATCTTAACATCACCACTACTAAACCATAACAACTATTGACCCCCTTTAATGAAAGTTCCAAAAAAACAAAAAAAAAACTTCATTTAATGGTGAAAATTCTATGACAATCCAAAAGATTTTTTAAATTAGAGTCGAGGATTAAAAAAAAACAAGCGAAAATTAAAATTCATGCAATTAGAAGAAATATAGATTGTAATAAATCTGACTAAATACGATCTCACTTTCAACCATTAACAAAAAAACATAGGATTATTAAAAAATGAGGGGAGAAGAAAGAAGGAAAAGAAGTCACCTGAAAAAAGCCTCTCCCCTCTTTGATGTGTTAATGTTTCAGACTTCCTTGAGTCTTATACTTGATCAAGAATTAAAATCTCCTAATAGATGAAGAACAATCTTATACTTGGACCAGTTCAGTCCAGACACGTAAGTGGGATCTGCTTCCCATTGCAGAAAATCTCGCATGCACGGGATATGCTTTGCGTTAGCTTTTCAAGGTTGGGGGAGCTTCGACCTTATTCTTCAAAGCTTTTGTCTGCATGTTGAAGTTTGCAGAGCTACTTTAACCTCCCAGGATTGAAGAGTTTTCAAATATGTCGATATGAGCATCTGGATCTCACTGATAGTTACACTATTCCCAAAAATATTAGTTTTACCCTACTTTAGAGTAGTTATATGTATCGGTCTAACCCTCTGGGATATACAACTAGACTACATTTGGTTTTTTTTCCAAATATACTCTGTAGGGTTTTCCAAATGCAGCTCCAGGTTGCTCATCCTTATCTGGCATGAGGACAGACCGAACTCCGAATGGTGTGGCTATGGTGGTAAGCTATTGAACAGGATGTACTGAAACTCTCTCTGTATCGGCTGCCTTGTGTTTGAAACTAGCTCTTCTATATCGTTGTCCACTATCATCACCAAAACTTATTCCATCGATGCTTCTCTGCTGGTAAGGGAATCTAATCTCTGACTCCATAGAAGGTAAAAGGATGATGCACTTGCCATACTTGGTGAAGAAGTGTCTTATAACCATTATATTCAGTTTTGTGATCAAACTACCGTAGCCTCTCCAACAAAAGGTGATAGACATCATAGGCACTACATCGCACAACACCTGATCTTGTAGCTAATGCTCAATTAAAAACTCCACCAGCAATGCTGACTTTGTTCTTCTTCCATAACCACGTCAGGGAGTTTGGCTGAGAATGTCTCTGAGTTGTGAGACTCAACTTGTTCATCATATGTATATATATCATATTTTTGCTGCTCCCTCCATCGATATTGATATTGCATATCTTTCTCTTCACAGTATAATGATTGTAGAATATGCTCTGTTGGAACCACTGTTGAACCCTTGTATTCTAAGTACATAGGATCAGTCGAAACACAAATATCTCGCCTTCATTCGTTGAAAGATTGTACTTCTTACCTTTTGTTTAGATGCCCCTTCATCACTAACTTTCTTTACTGCACCCTGCTCGGTAGAGGATAACTCGGCTCGCCTGGCATTTGGAGTTAATATGCCGATATCCATGGCATCTGAAGTATTCCTGACTGGGATTGCAGTGGGTGTGTTATTTTTCTTAGGCTTCTCACTCTAAGTGGCTCCGTCATTTTCAGACCAACTTTCTCAACATCCTGAGGCGTGCTTCTTTCGATGTCTCTTATTGTGGGTGGTTGTTTAAATAGTGGTGGGTGTCTCGTCTACTTGTTCTATCTCTCCACTTTCAATGCCAGGGTCTGGACGTTGCCCAAAAACCAGTGAGGTTGTAGCTAGACAACTTTGCCGATGGAGGGTTTCAAGCTTCCCAAGTAACTAGCTATCATGTGCTCCTCCGGCTTCGTCAAATCACATTTCAGATTAAGTTGCATAAACTCCATTGTATACTTCTCCATTGATAAGTTCCTCTGTTATAGGTAGTAGAGCCTCAAGAAACGATCTTGACTGTTATGTGTTGTCATTGTAGCTTTCTATTTTTGTCACAACTCGGCCTGATAACTTAGAATTAACCAAGTTCGGAATTGTCGTCAGACGATATTAACATTTAAATAACTGGCATTAGATTTACGTGTTTAAGCAGTCACCAAGAGTATGGTTTGAGAAATTTACACTATTTTCTAAAGGTTGGGGGTATACTCAAGGGCAATGAAATCATACAATATTCTTTAGACATTCAAAAGATGGGAGGATAATCATTCTGATTGTGTATATGACGATATAATTCTCACATGAGATTACATATATGAGATGAACCATTTGAAGACTTCCTTATCTGTTTCTGAAACCAAGGATTTTGGGTCTCTGGGATATTTCTTTGGCATGAATGTTGCTAGATCAAAGAAAGGGATTGTTGTTTTACGATGGAAAAATGTTCTAATCTAGTAAAGGAAACTTGGATGAGTGAGTGTAGGCCTACAGACACTCTAATTGATCCCAATCAGAAACTGGGAAGAGAAAGAAGGTGACCCAATGAATACAATTTAGTATCAAAAGTTAGTTTGAAAGTTTATATACTTATCACATACCTAGCTAGATATGATTTTTGCTTTGAGTTTAGTAAGTTAATTTATGCATTCATCATATGAGAAACATCTTGAAGCAGTTAATGAGATTCTCAGATAGTTAAAAGATACACCAAGCAAGTGCTTACTCTTTTAGAAGATCACACATGGTAGCCTTCTCCCGCTATTTATCTTGTAAACTTCTCTTGTGAAATCAAAAAGAATAATTATTTTTTGCTCTCCCAAATCCTACTAAAACTTTCTTAAATGACTAACTCCTAGATGGAATAAATAACAAACTAGTAACAAACTACTAACAAATAAACAACCAATACACGCTAAAAAACAACTTAAAAGTTGCTAACAAACTTAATGATTGACTTGCATATCTTTCATAAATTATTGAAAGCTTAAAAAAAATAAAATAACTCAATCATCCATGGAAAAAAATAAAAAAATACAAATTTGAATTTTTGCCCACATCAATATTGTTAGAATTTGATTAGACACGTACAAATATAATTAAAACCTCATTAGCCATTATTATGAATGAATGCAGATTGAGGATTTGTAAATCCATCCCCAAATAGTTGGGTTAAGCATAATGATGATGATGACAATCATTAGAAAAAAGATTGATTCAACCATTAACTCTTTTTTCCTCTGTAGGTTAGCCAATTCAAATATCTACTTGGGGTCAAACAGACGCTTAGCAATGCCGTTATTGACATTCCTGTCATAACTTACCCGAAATCTTTGAAACTGCCAAAGGCATTTGATGCTAGAACAACATGGTCTCACTGCAGTTCCATTGGAAGAATACTTGGTAAGTTACATAATTGTTTGTTTAAGAAAATTCTTATTTTGAAATTATACTGACACCTAAAACTTTGCCTTATTGCCTTTCTCATTCCATCACCAATTTGATTAAAAGATCAGGTATGTTATTCTCTTCTGTTATTTGCAGAGTAGCTGTTCAGCTAGGTCTCATAATCGCATGCTAACTCCATTTTTCTTTATTTTCAGGGACATTGTGGTTCTTGCTGGGCGTTTGGTGCAGTGGAATCCTTATCTGATCGTTTCTGCATTAGATTTGGTGTTGTGAGAACTACTTAACTAATATACGAACTGGTATTTTGTGAAAAAGTTCGTTTTCTTTGGAATATTTCAATTACTAATCTCTGAACCATCATTGCAGAATGTATCACTGTCTGTTAATGACCTTTTGACATGCTGCGGATTTATGTGCGGAGATGGCTGTGATGGAGGTTATCCTATATTTGCTTGGAGGTACTTAGTTCAGAGCGGTGTTGTTACTGAAGAGGTGAGCTGTTGTCTCTATCTATCTAGCTGCTTCTACCATCTCAGCTATTAATCAACAGCTATCCTTGATTTAATTTTCAGTAGAAAGATACTTAGGTTTTTTATTTAATAGCTTAAGGCAATAGATGTCAGGAAAGGAATGCCTTCCATACTTTTGTTGGATGCTTAATAAATTTTTATATTTTAGTCTTTGGTTTATTATGATAGAGACTGATGGTTTGTAGAATATTTTAGTGAAGGTCCGCAAGGCTAGATAAAATTTTGTCTAGAAACAATCACATTTTAACAAAGTTTTTATATTATGAAAGTGGTTTAATTTAATTGATATGCCCATAATCATTGTAAATATAAGGGTCCGCTAGTTCATCTGAATTCTTTGAACATTTACTCTGAATAATCTAAACTAGACCATGTTATGCCATTGTTGGATGCCTATTTTAAGGATAGTTTCAGAAGATTTAACCTTTCCTTTTTTTATATATTAAAATTCTTTTTCAAATTTATTCTTACGTTGTGGATAAGATTGTAATTTTCTCTATTGAGAAAGACGCTTGACATAACAAGAGTTTCTTGTCTTCTATTATGGCCACAACTTTCTTCATAACGTGCAAAAATTGGATAAATAATTTTGAGCAGTTACAGCTTCCAAGAGAAACCATAATTTAGAAGCACAAAGCAACTCTATAAAATAATTTTGTCCGTGTTTTTCTCAGTCTGTTCACGTTCAGTTTATCTTACCACAGTTTTTTTACTTACAAATGTATTTCATTGAGATTCAGTTATGCTTGTCTTGATTAGCAAATTTCACTTTGGTTAGCAAGCTATTAAAAAAGAATTAGACCTAGTTGCATCACTAGAATTTGGTATAGAGATCATTCGTTTCATTAGAATAACAAAATATATATGACAGAAGCATATTATTTATTCTTAAGTTGGGTTAGAAATAAGGCTGATAATTATGGCCGGAGCTCAAAATTTGCTCAAGAATCTCAAAACTAATTTTCTCACTGTTAACATGGATTTTTTGAATTATGTTCAATTAAACTGAATTTATGCATATTATGCGTTTGTGTGCATACATATGCAAGAGCAAGCGCATGAGTAAGTGTGCGAGTGACATTAAATCACTCACACTGTCAACTGTACTCGAACTTGACTCGAGTCGATTTGCAAGTTTACATCTAGTTAGAAAATAAGAAGTGTACTTCAAGCTGCATTATAAAAATGATTATACTGGTGTCTTAAGCCTTCTGAAGTACCCTAGTAAGCATTTTATTGGTCATTCAAGATGCTGCCAACTTCTAATTGTTTTTTTTGTTTTTAGACACATACTGCACGATTCTCATATATTTACCTACTTAACACCTACATATTCATATTTACATACAAACCACTAAGATGTTTAACAACACATCAAAAATATCACCATGAATACCTTTTTAAAAGTGAAATTGTATAAAAAAAAATGACAACACGAATCTCAAAACAATCCAACGACCGGGGTGGAAGACGATCGTTGGAAGATCAAATGACCAACTAACTACAACGTGGATATTAGGAATTATGACGATCAGAGGAAGAAAGGTGATCGGCTTGCATGACGATCATTGATCGGTCAACTAGGCATCGAACTATTCGATTGACCAGCGATCCAGAAGGTCTGAGGATCATTCAAAGAGAATCCAAATGGTTGACATGACTCTGACACGGCCAATCATGCATCAACGATCGAGTACCAACACGTGACCCGAAAACAATCGTTCGGCCGAGTTGAACAGTTGCCAGACTAAAATCAATGAGGCGGCTCTTGTAGTATTTTATTGTATTTTTCCCGTAATTTACTAAAGTGACTATCACATAAGCTAATGATTATGGGGCAAAATTGTAATTATAATACGTGTACCTCATGTCTATAAATAAGGCTCATTCCATAATAAAATGTTACACACTTTCACTGTTCTCTACTGTTTTTTCTTCCTCCAGGTACGCTCTATTTTTTTTTTATATAATGGTACGCTCTATCCCTTGTGTGTTTTTTGACACTTTCGGATTCAACATCCTGTTAGGTGCGGTGAACGTGGAAACCATGTCGTCAACAAGAAGAGTACAACAATAACAATAAGGAGAAGAGAAACATAGTAGAAGTGGGATGCACCAGATAGTATATGGAAGGATTTGTATAACAGGAGTGCAAAGCTTGAGAACTCAGAAATCTAATCAGATGTCGAAACAATTTGCAGAAGTACTTAGAGCAGTTACAGCCTTTAGGGGAGCCCCGTTCCACGGGGAGAACAAGCTCAGCATGAGACACATTACCCCCCTCGAGAGGAACCTCTGGCGCATAATGGAAGGAGAACAAACCATTTGCAGGAGAGAGTTGAAGATGTGATGCATCAGGACAGCGCCAGACCCGCCTTTGTGGTAGAAAGACAATGAATTGGGCGAGTCAAGGTGACATGACAACCAAAGAACGCTTTCTCCTTACAGATCTCTTGAGCTGAATCCCCGGAGAAGTTTAAGCTGCCAGCCTTGGAGTTATATAAGGGACGACCGAATCCCAACGACCACCTCGCGCCTTTTGAATCTTCAATGTGCTTACTAATGATATCTGATGCCTTCAAGTGCAAACTATTTTTCACAACATTGAGACCATCTGCTCTAAGGTGGTTCAACACATTACCAGTGAGGGTAATTACTTGCTACGCAGAATTTAGGAGGCTTTTTCTGACACAATTTGTCGGTGCAGTGAGATTAAAGAAGTTTGCCTGATCTCAGTGGCAATTAAAACAAGGACCCAACGAGAGCTTGCGCTCGTTCATCGCACGTTTCCAGAGATAAACACTGGATGTGAGGATTTGAAACCCGACATGGCTCAGACCGCCTTGACATAGGGGTTGAGGTCAGAGAGATTTCACTTTGACCTCGACCTTGCAAAGCCCCATAGTTTCATCGAGTTACTGGTGATACCAATAAATACGTCCACGCTTATGAAAATGCTCCCGAGTTCTTCACAAAAAGGCATCAGAAGCGACCATCACAGAACGAGTGGAAAGTAAGGGAAAATGCGCGACGATCCATCCGACTACACCATGAAAGTCACCCCTGCAATAACTCAACCCATCATCAAGGCGACTAGAAAAAGACAAGCAAAGTCCTATGATCAGTGGTTGATCCAGTACCACGAATGACCTCGACATGACCACGAGGTCCCTAAAGCCATTCCTCGGGGGTATCAATCGTAGAGATAGTAGACGCCATTCAAGTCAAATTTCTTTAGGAGGGCTCCGCCAATGAGGACATGGGCCCTTCTCCGGGACAACAAGAAGTACTTTAAGTCCCACAGGGATCATGACCATGATACGAAGAAATGTAGACACCTCCGGAGCCTGATTGAGGAACTGATAAAGGAAGGAAAGTTGAAGGAATTTATCGCCCCAGGGGCTGGGACTCAGAGACAGGGTAAAGCCTCAATGAGGGGAACACCCGGCAGACCAATTTGCACAAATGCCATCCACATCGTAGGATTTGTACTGGCCAGATTCAATGGAACCAAACCACCCAGGCGAGCGAACTGGAAGAGGCAACAAATTGGGGGACTCTGCGCCATAGCTTTTGCCCCAAAACCCAGAAACCATCCACCTATCTACTTCAACCACGACGTTCTGCCCTCGAAGGGAACCCCCATAATGATGCTATTGTAATAGCAGCTATATTTAATAACTATTAAGTGAAAGCATTCTGATTGATGCATGAAGCTCCTTGAACGTACTCTTAAAATAGGTGTTTGACAAGCTGAGTCTTACCGCTGATTGGATGACTGCACCAGCGGGGCCACTGTATGGCTTTTCGGGAGAGGAAAGAAGCGCTCAACATAATCGAGCTCCCAATTAGCTGGGGAGAAAATGTGAAACAGGTTACATCGACGGAGGACTTCCTTGTGGTGGATTCTGCCCCGACGTATAATGCCTATTCGGTCGGCCGCGCAACATATAGAATTTAAAAAGAAACTTTTCAAACACTTAAAAAATTTAATATGAGGTTGAATCCGTTAAAATTCACATTTGGAGTTTTAGACAGACAAATTTTTGGGATACTTACAAACACTCGTAGATGTCCGTCAAGGCTCCATTAAAATGCACATTTGGGGTTTGTAAGTATCTCAAGAATTTGTCTGTCAAGACTCCAAATGTGCATTTTAATGGATTCAACTTTATGTTAAATTTTTTAAGTGTCTGAAAGGTTTTTTTCTGAAGTTCTATATGTTGTGCGGCCGATTGAATATGGCATTGTACGTCGGGGGAGAATCCACCACGAGGAAGTCCTCTGTCGATGTAAGCTGTTTCACATTTTTTCCCAAGCTGATTGGGAGGCCGATTATGCCGAATGCTTCTTTCCTCTCTCGAGAAGCCATACAGTGGACCCGCTGGTGCAGTCATCTGATTATGTCGAGCCTTGCAAATTCTTTGAGAGCATAAAAGCCAATCGAAAAAATTCCAAGCACTCGTAGATATGTCATCCCCCAGAAATACCAAAGAAATACCATAAATAACAAGCCGACAATCAAGATTTAGCAGATTCATTTCCAAATTAGGAGACAAATGCGAGGAAAGCCAAGTATTTCGTAGGGACGTTCAAATTCGAAAAAGCCTTTGCAAACCTCAAACAATCGCCCGCCTCTCCCCTTCTTCTCCACAGCTCGAAACGAAAGGAAAAACCTTCCCTTCATTGGGGATTGGCTCGGAGGCCGTCAGTTCAGTTTTAGTTAGAGAAGAAGTCGAAAAATAATATCCAATGTACTGCACTAGTAGAGTCCTCAAAGACACAGAACTCAAGTGCCAAATAATGGAGAAACTAACTTTTGATTATTTTAGCACACATACTCCGACCATACTTTCAAGTATACTCCATACAAGTTATCACAGACCATCCGCTGAAGCTTGTCCTCACTCGCCCGGAGCATTCTGACTAACTGCTCAAATGGGCAGTCGATCTCAATGAATT